AAGTTCCATGAAACAATGCTCATCTTTACTACATGTGATTCTATTTTCTTTTGTATCTTATTTCATTTTTAATAAAGTTGGTCACTACTCACTAAATTGTTTCTCAATTCTCAGTTTGAAAAGCACTGTGATACCAGGTTTTGGACATATGCAAAATTCAATTAATTAACTGAAATGGAATTAGCCATAATCTAATTAAGAGAAATTAAGAAGGGCTTCCCTGGTGGTCCAGTGGTTAAGAATCCACCCTGCAATGCAGGGGATATTGGTTCCATCCCTGGTGCCACATGCCGTGGAGCAATTAAGCTCATGCACCACAAATAACTGAGCCTGTGAGCTACAGCTACTGAGCCCACATCCCACAACTACTGAAGCCCGCTTCCCCACAATAAGAGCCATCGCAATGAGAAGCCCATGAACCAAAACTAGAGAGTAGCCCCCGATCGCTGCAAGCAGAGAAGGCCTGTGCACAGCCACGAAGACCCAGCACAGCCAAAAATAAACAAGTGATTTATAAAAAGAGAGAGAGAGATGAAGAAAGCTTCATCTCATCCATTCACTCATCAAGAATTATCAAGTGAGGCTCTGTTCTGAGAGCTGGGGTTAGCAAAATGATGTCCCCCACCTCATAGAGCTTTCATTATAGAACTCTGTTGCCCAATAAAGTTACTAGCCATGGATACTTATGTTTAAATTAATTAAAGTGAAACAGAAGTAAACATTTGGTTGCATAGTCACACTAGCCACAGTTCAAGTGCACTTGTGGTCTAGTGGCTGTGGTGCTGGACACAGCAGATAGAGAACATTTCCACCGTCACATAAAGTTCTTTTGGACAGTTCCGCCCTAAAGCAAAGAAAACATAAGCTCGGATGTACTCCTGTGGCCATTCCTCTCTACTGGCTGCCTGCAAGATGGATGTGATGGCTGGAGTTCCAGCACCTATTATAGACCATATGGATGATGGAGAAGAAAGGAAGAGACTGGATCTGCGATGCCTATGAAGCCACCATGGCTTCATAATTTCAGTCTGACTGCACCCCTCAACAATGAAAAAATGTTGACTACCACTTCAGTAATCAAAGGATGTTGCAGTCATCAAGCCACTACAGCCACCTTGAACAGTGAACCTGGAGTGAACTCACGCATCTTCCCATACAAAGAAAAACTGTACTTTCCTTAACTTGAGATACTTGGTTATCTTTAGCTAACACTAATCTTTTAATGTTCCCACTACTGGTCATTGTTGCAAGATCTCCTATTATCCTGGCTCCTGCTTATTTAACTTATATGCAGAGTACATCACGTGAAATGCCTGGCTGGATGAAGCACAAACTGGGATCAAGATTGCCAGGAGAAATATCAATAACCTCAGATATGCAGATGAAACCACCCTTATGGCAGAAAGTGAAGAGGAACTAAAGATCCTCTTGATGAAAGTGAAAGAGGAGAGTGAAAAAGCTGGCTTAAAGCTCAACATTCAGAAAACTAAGATCATGGCATCTGGTCCCATCACTTCATGGCAAATAGATGGGGAAATAGTGGAAACACTGACAGACTTTATTTTCTTGGGCTCCAAAATCTCTGCAGATGGTGACTGCAGTCATGAAATTAAAAGACTCTGGCTCCTTGGAAGAAAAGCTATGACCAACCTAGACAGCATATTAAAAAGCAGAGACATTACTTTGCTGACAAAGGTTCGTCTAGTCAAAGTTATGGTTTTTCCAGTAGTCATGTATGAATGTGAGAGTTGGACTACAAAGGATGAGTGCCAAAGAATTGATGCGTTTGAAGTGTGGTGTTGGAGAAGACTCTTGAGAGTCTCTTGGACTTTATGAAGACCAAATCAGTCAATCCTAAAGGAAATCAGTCCTGAATATTCATTGGAAGGACCGGTGCTGAAGCTGAAGCTCCAATATTTTGGCCACCTGATGGGAAGAACTGACTCACTGGGAAAGACCCTTATGCTGGGAAAGATTGAAGGCAGGAAGAGATGGGGAATGTGAGCTTTCCCATAAAAAGAAAAGCTCTACTTTCCTTGAGATACTTGGCTATTTTTAGCTAACACTAATCTTTTGATGTTCCCACTAACTGGTCTTTGTTGCAAGAACTCCTACCTATCCTGGCTCCTGCTTATTTAACATATATGCAGAGTACATAACGTGAAATGCTGGGAGGATGAGATGGTTGAATGGCATCACTGACTCAGTGGACAAGTGTTTGAGCAAAATCCAGGAAGTGGTGATGGACAAGGAAGCCTGGTGGGCTGCAGGCCACGGGGCTGCAAAGAATTGGACACAACTGAGCAACTGAACAGAACTGATCCTGGCTCCTCCCTTACTTCTTTGGAGCAGATTGTCAGAGCTATATGAGAGGTTGTGTCCCAGGCTTAATGTTTCAGTTTAGTTGGCCAAGCAAAACCTAATTCTTAGCTTTCAGGTTCTGCATTTTGTTTTTTTCAGCCAATACCCTTGATTTTTTTTTTTTAATAAGAGAGAATAAACTCTCATGTGCTTAAGCTATGTAGTCCATCCCTAAAAAGTGAGGACCCTCGTGAGCTGCTTTTTTCATGTGAGTACTTGTGTGAAGAGATCAAAAGACATTGTCTTTGAAATCTCTTTAATTGCAAGAGATGCCAAACTGTAAAATTTCGGACAATCTTAGATTTGTTAGAAATCACTGCTGTAAGGAATGAAATGCAATAAAAAACATTCAAATGATGCCTAAATAAAAGCCAATTAGCTGGAATAAAAGTCAAATTCTCCCAGTTTTGTCAGTGGCTTGTAAGTGGTGCCTAATCTTCTCACAACTATCGGTATCACTGGTGTTCTAAGCAGATATTTTCAAGGTACAACAAAGATTTTGTAGACCATAAGAAGTTTAGAAAGTATTCTGAAATTCAAATCAGATTTTCCAAAGATTTTTTAGAATTATCTAGTCACAGAATTATCATTACCTACCAAATATGACCCTGAGATTGAAAGCTTTCATGGACACAAGTTGAATTCTTTCAGGAATCCACTATGACTGTTGTGAGTTAATAAAAGGTTTTTAGCACAGTATGTGTGCTCAGTCGCTCAGTAGTGTCAGACTCTGTGACCCTGAGGACTGCCAGGGACTTTTCTATCCATGGGATTTTTCCAGGAAAAATACTGGAGTGGGTTGCCATTTCCTGCTCCAGGGGATCTTCCCCACTCAGGAGTCTACCCTGTGTCTCCTGCATTGGCAGGCAGATTCTTGACCACTGAGTCACCTGGGAATCCTTTTAGTACAGTATACATCGACTAAATCCTCCAAATATTTCCAAATAAAATAGGGTTAATGGAATAGTTTCAGGAGTATTTTGAAAAGTAATAAAATTTGCACCCAAGTTCAACCAATATTTACTGATAAACTATTGAGGATACTAGTCATTTTTCATTATTTTATTTAACTTCCCAAAACTCTTTCACTCACAAAAATTGCATTCTATACTTAGACTTAGGGAGTCTGACTTTCCCAAAGCCACAGGACAAGTACCAGATAAACCCAAGACTTCAGGCTAGGGTGCTTTGATTCTAATCTCTTCAGTACTCTTTTTCACTGTGGCTGTCTTACAATGGGGGGGGGGGCAGTTTTTAATTGAACATAAAACCAATGTTTGACGGTACTGTATGAATGATGGGAATGGTTCTGAATAATTTGAAAAGTTAAAGTTGAGGAAAATAATTTAACTGTGATAATAATGTTCCATTCACACATCTCAGAAATAATCAAGAGGTTTCAGCGATCTTTAGTGGACCATTTATCAGAAGACATCCGTTTGTTTTCAAATTCCCTTCATTCCAGTTTTAGCTTTTTTTCAGGTATCCGCAGGGTCCCCTGGGGGTGTCCAGTACAGCCCCAAACCCCTTCTTCCAGGGAGGATCACTTTTCGAGGCTCCTTTTCATTTTGACTCCTCCATCACTGATTTGTGCCCTACTCCAACAGTTGCCCTCCCTTATTCTGTGGAATGCTTTATTGCTGCATATGGGGAAATTTGTTAATGTGTTATAACTGCCTGATTTTTTATTTATCAGAATGAAATTTTCTGTGAGGGTATAACTGGATTTAACTTGTTCACAGTTGGGACCTCAGTGCTAGGGATACAGCAAATATATTTGTGGAATGGAAGAATCTCTCCGATTTCATACTCATTTGCCTTTAAACCAAAGATGTCACTAAACCGGTCTTTTTTTTTTTTTCCCCCAGTACCGAGTAATTGAGTCTAAAGTCCAAATAAAATTTGGGCAGGTGGAAAGCGCCTTTTTTGTATGTTTAACCTAGCTCCTGGGTTATTATCTTAACTACACTTTATTTTTATTTTTTAAATTAATTTACTTCAACTACACTTTGAAGTGACAACACATCCTTTTTTTCCAAACAAAGGACCTAATTCTGGACTAAGCGCAAAACAGAAACAGCAAGATTCTTTAGCTGCCTTAGGAACCACAAGCTTTCAAATATGGGACCAAACTGAGAGATGGGAAAGCTGCGCAAACTTCCTTGACAACTTCCTTCCTTCTCAAGCCCCTTTCCAGACTCTACGCCCCCCACGATCATTCCCAGGGGGCAGGCAGGCCGAGGTGGGTCCCACAGACCGGACTTGGCTCCGCCCCACAAAGGAATCAGGAAGCTCGAAGTGGGGCAGCCCTGGGACAAGCGCTGAAAAGTTCTCCGAGGTCCTCGGAGATCACAGGGGCTGGTCACAAGCCAAGAACTCTGCCCTCATCGTCAAGGGAACCCTCCGTAAACGCGAAGTCCTTCACAGCAGCTGACGCTTTCAGTTCCCAGAAACAGCGGGAGCTTGCGCGGCACCAGGCCTGGGGCGGAAACTTGAGATTTCATCTAAGCCCCACCCGGGCGGCACCTACCAGGGCCGACCCTGGAGTGTCGCGAGCGGCCGGGCCCCAGGCGCCGCCTCCACCACTCAGGGCCGGGGAGCGTCTTCCTCCTCCCTCCCCCCGCGCGCTCCTCACCTACCATTCCTCTCCCTCGCGCCGTCCGGCATTTTCCCTCCGCCCCACCCCCTCCTCTGCCTTCCCCTTTCCCAGGGCCGCCGGGCGAGCCCGGGGTGGAACGCGCGGCCTGGTACCCCGATGCCAAGTCCCCGGATGCGCCCCTCCCCTCCCCCACGGCCCGCACCGCGGCCCCGCCCCTCGCGCAGCTCTGCGTGACGCGTCACCGCTCGCGGCGCTTCCGGAGGCGCCGCGCGCGATGACGTAGGGGGACGTGCCCTCTATATGAGGTCGGGGAGCGGCAGAGTCGGCCTTTTCCGCCCGCTCCCCCCTCCCCCCGAGCGCCGCTCCGGCCGCACTGCGCTCGCTCTGAGCTCCGGGCTCCTGCTAAGCCAGCGCCGCTGTCGCCTCCCTCCAGTCGCCATCATGATCATCTACCGGGACCTCATTAGCCATGACGAGATGTTCTCCGACATCTACAAGATCCGGGAGGTCGCGGATGGGCTGTGTCTGGAGGTGGAGGGGAAGATGGTCAGTAGGACAGAGGGTAACATCGATGACTCGCTCATTGGTGGAAATGCCTCCGCTGAAGGCCCCGAGGGCGAAGGTACCGAAAGCACAGTAATCACTGGTGTCGATATTGTCATGAACCATCACTTGCAGGAAACCAGCTTCACAAAAGAAGCCTACAAGAAGTACATCAAAGATTACATGAAGTCGTAAGTGATACTGACACACCCAACTGATGTCTGAAAATCCTACAGGATTTTAGGGGTTGGCTTCCTTTGAGATTTTTAACAGCAGGCGTGCTTGTCAAAGGCTTTTTTCCTATTGATGAGCACAGAAGGGTGGCTGCTTTTTTATAAATACGAGGATACTGGAGGGTGCTGTGTGGTTTTACTTTTTTTAGAATAGTCCTTTGGTACAGAATAAGCTGAGGTGAAATTCAAAGTTAGGAACAGCCTTAAAACATCACTCGTATGAGTTAGTAATCTCCTTGCTAGTTTGGTGGTTTTCAGTTTGGAATTTTTACTGAATGGAAACTTTGCTCAGAACTGATTAATGTGTCAATATGTTGTTTTAGAATTAAAGGGAAACTTGAAGAACAGAGACCAGAAAGAGTAAAACCTTTTATGACAGGGGCTGCAGAACAAATCAAGCACATCCTTGCTAATTTCAAAAACTATCAGGTAAATAACTTTAACATATTTGGATCAAAGGATTGTATAATTTTAACTGAGCAAAACATGAGTTACTTGATGAGCCTCTGATGTAATTAAGTTGGAGTTATTTTCTGTGTTTTCAGCAGTTTAAATACTTCACAGATTTTACTTCAGCAGGCTGGGCTGTAGCGAGTTGCCTTCTCTGCTCCCAAGCAAGAATGTTTCCAGATCTTGTCTTCTGCTTCCAAAATCTTATTCGACTCAACATTTCCCAGTTCTTTGGAATTACTTGTTTACTCCGAACTAGTCTTCTGGTTTTCTTTTTACAATACCAGTGTGTCTTGTTGCCACTGAAGCTCTTTCTGATCTGAGCTTTTCCTATGGAGAAACTCCAGTGACTGACTTGCTGAACACAACCTGGTTTTCACACATCCTCTGGCCATAAGATAACTTCTCATGGGATGTGCTCTTCTCATTGGTGGCCTTGTGTTCTCTTGTGCTTGACTTTGTAAACAGCCTTGTTTGTAGGGTTTAGACTGAGATGTGTGGGGTTAGGTTTCCAGGGAGCGCAGTGTCCCTGGATTGCTCTGAACTCCTAACATTTGGTTATTAGTACTTTGCATGAACCGAAGTTTGATTAGTGAGCATTTTCCTCATCAGAACTCATTAGTTGCTGACTAAATAGTGCCTTGATTAGATATTGGTGTTCTGATTCCTTTGATTTATTGTGTTTTGATACAGTGCATTCCTGTATAATCTAATTCTGTGTATTTGTTTGCTTCCTAAGTTCTTTATTGGTGAAAACATGAATCCAGATGGCATGGTTGCTCTGCTGGACTACCGTGAGGATGGTGTAACCCCATATATGATATTCTTTAAGGATGGTTTAGAGATGGAAAAATGTGTAAGTATAAAGAAGTGGGTTGAAATGAGTCATGTAAAAATGGAGGTATTACAACCTTTAACAAATAAACCAGTTAATGATAATATTGGCAGCTGGTTGGAAAGGCCATGATGTTACTCGCTTTTAGTAAATACAATTTAGAGCAGGCTGCTGACCTGATATGCTAGTTGCTTCAGTAAAATTAAATGAATGTCTGCTGGGCAAGGAACTGCTAAAGGAGAAATGAAGCCACTAATTTATCTTGGCTTTCAGCAGCTTCCATGTAAATTAGGAGTAAGATAAATTTAAGGCTACACTAGGGAATTCCCTGGTGGTCCAGTGGTTAGGACTCTGGGCTGCCACTGCCAAGGGCCAGGGTTTAGCACTGGGTTGGGAAACTAAAACAAGCTGCTTGGTGCAAAAACAATCTACCCTAAACAGGGTTGGGGCAGCAGTGACCACAAATGTCAAAGGACAGTACAGATGTCTTGCCAAAGGGATTGTTCAAAGAATGTGTGAGGTTTTTGTTGGAATAGGGTGGGTGGGCCTTCTCAAAATGCTTCTCTGATTTGGTAAGGATGGTTGTGCATCCACTGATAGACCTTGAACAATCTGCAGTTGTTCCTTTGGTTTGCACTAGGATGCAAAAGCAACATCCCCGCGCTTTCTGTCTGTCTGTGTGTATGACAGCTCGGATTGAATAGGGGAGTACATCTGAAACCTAGAAACATGAGCTACTTTCATGCCAGAAAGGTGTGTTAATGGGCTCTTCCTTGTTTTCCCAGTAACAAAGCTGACAGTTACTTTGGATCAATCACCTGTCGTCATAACTGGCTGGCCACTGCTTTTCATCCACACAACACCAGGACTTAGACAGATGGGACTGATGTCATCTCGAGCTCTTCATTTGTTTTGAACGTTGATTTATTTGGAGCGGAGGCATTGTTTTTGAGAAAAACGTGTCATGTAGGTTGTCTAAAAATAAAACACATTTAAACTCATTGGAAAGAATGCCTCTTAGTTTAATATGTCATGTCTAAATCCATCCTTGTAGCCTTCCTGGAGCAGCTAGAGTCTGGTTGTAGCCTACCACTAGAAAGCACCTTCAGATAACGTCTGCAGTGAAACCACTTCCGGGACTTGGAATATACAAGAATCAGAAGTAACTGAGTGGAGTAAAGGGAAAGACCATGCTCATGACAGTGCCAACCAACACTTGAAGTGGATTGTTTACACATTTCATCACCTACAAACGGAAGTGGTTAATCTGGAAGTTTACTAAAGAATAAAGAGAGACTAACACAGTTGGAAGCAAAGTACTGTCTGAGCTTATTTTAGAGCTGAGTTCTAGAGAAATCTAGACATCTGGAATACTTCTGTCAAACTCCTTGGAACAGGGATGACAGACTGGCTCTCCCACCACCTGTTTTGTGGCTAAGGTGGTGATTACATTTTTTTAAGTGGTTCATAGTAGCTTATGGGACATGAAAAAATAAAGTTTGTGTCCAGTTTTACTAGGGCACTACCATGCCCTGTATTGGCTGGTTCTGACATTGCAAGAACAGATCAGTGACAGATCTAAGGGTCTCCTGCGAGCCCTGAGGTACCCATGTGGCCCTTTATAGGAAAGATTTATGGGCCTTTGTTTGAAAAGATGAAGTATATAAATGGACTGTGGAGTAGTCGGTGGGCAGAGAAGCAAATGCTCTGTTTTATCTGTAAAAAGGTGTGGGTATCAATATGAAAATGCATCTATTTGACAGACCCGAAGCAGTTACTGTCTGCTAAGGTTTCCACTACAGATGCAAGAAAAACATCCTCGCGCTTTCTGCCTGTCTTGATTGTGGCAGCCCAGATTGAATGGGGGAATACAGGGCGAAACTTGGAACCTTACAACCAAGTGACATCCAGAGTCAGTGTTAGGTGCAGAGTCTCAGACAGGTTGGTAGTGCCCCCTGGTGACAGTCCAAATAATTGTTTGGAAACTGCAGTCATGCTGAGGGCAATTCTAAGCATTCTGTCATAAGTAGTGTAGATAACATGCCAGTGATACAGGAGGCCACTTACCTCTGAAATGTACTAATGGGAGACTTTTCAGGCAGGGGTCAGTGCTAGGAAGGTGACAAGGTAGTGGGAGAAGTAACATAAGCTGTGAGCTTGCATGGAAAAGGCTGGAAGAACAGGAATAGCATTATAGAGACTGTAGGAAGTGAAGAGAAGGCTAAGAAGGCTTATTTTGGATCATTTTCTAGTTGGTGTCATCTGGGTCAAGATAGTGTTCAAGAATAACAGGTGGTAGGTACTGTACACATCAGAAGGCATGTGTTTTGTGTCATGTCTAGTAAGCGGAAGCTGAAAAGGAAAGAGATTATGTGGGTATCTGGGAGCGAAGCATGCCAGGCAAAAGAGCAGCATGCAGAAGTAGAGTGTGGTTGACAGGTTCAGGGGACAAGGTGGCCAGGATGCTGGGCCCAAGACAGCAGGAGGACCTAAGCTACAGAAGTAAGTGCACAGGAAAAGAAACCAAATCACACAGAAGCCCCCAAGAGGGCTTTGTGTGGAAGTGCGATGTGATCTGATCTAAAGGGTCATTTTGGGTGCTGGGAGGCCAGGTAAAAGCAAAGAGAACAGTGATGTATAATACCTGAGATAGTGGCTTAGTCTAAGGTGGTAATTGAGATAAGCACAGATGCTCATATCTCAAAGCTATGGCAGCTTGATACAGAGATGTTGAGTGTAGTTCTGGGGTGCATGCTGTCTCTATTGAGGGCTCACTGCAAAAGAAATGCTGAATGCTGTTTTGAATTGTGACCTTTTTTTTTTCTAGAGAAGAAATTTTCTCTGGATTTTGTTCGATTTGTGAAATCAGGTACTAGTGTAGCTACATCTTTTCTAAAAGCAAAGTTGTCTAGAAGGATGTCTGCTGGGACAAATGTATGACATTTGAAGCTAAAATACTGAGTGAGGTGACCTAGACGGGATGGACTCAGCCCTCCAATGCAGAGATTGGTCA